AAAATTGTTTCGACAATTAAAATCTAGTATTTATTTGAATTAGAAATGATAAAGATACATTTTAAATACTTGGAAAATTGAAGTATTTTTCGAAAAAAAAATGTGATTATTTTATTTTATTAAACTTATAAAACTATGGGAATATAAAGTATACGTTATTTTATAATTATACAAGATATTTCAGATAATTGGAACAAATTGTAACTCCTTAAAACGTTTTTTTTTTTTTTTTTTTTTTTACGTTTTACAAGTAATCGTCACAAGATAAAACAAAATTTAATTTAGAACGTTTTTCATCGTTTTTCAGCGCATTTGAATAGCATCAATTGAAATATTTGAAATAAAAGTTAAATAATTGGTCTCAGGAAGAAAATTAGTTGGAATTTACTCGCAAATATGTTTATCAGAAAGAATTATTTCGATTTGAAATAAGAAATGCCAAATCTTGTTAAAGAATGATCGTTTCTCGAGCACGCGCACACACTTGAAATACGAAGATTGTTCTTAGGCGATGGACGTCGCAGACGCGGAGGAACGCGGCATTGGTAGCCGATCAGGGTCTCGATAACGTCGCGTAACAACTCGGCGTTAGGGCGGATTCACACTACGCGCACCGTCACGAAAGGTCAAGCGTTTTCGAGAAATATATTTTTACGTGACAATCGTCACGATTAATCGGCGATTCTGATTGCGTTCATGTAGTTACAATGACACTAGCATGTATCTGTACATGTAATGCGATACGACCTTTATTCGCTGTTAAAGAACGCGTCAAATGCCATTTGGATGCGATGCGCTTCTTCTTTTCCCATTTACTTTTCTACAGTTCATGGTTGCAACAATGTGTGGAAATATATCATGGACGATCGACGAAAAATCATAGACGAAACGAAACGTGAAAGATGGAAATGTTTTTGTCCAACCGATTCAATCTTCAAGTTTGATATTTATCTAGAGCAAAGTTTGTATCAAACGATTTTAAAGCACTTTCATTAATTAGTTGCCTTGCCTTGTTCTTACCTTCTTAAATGAAACAAATTATATTTATATTTATCGTTTAATAATAATAATGGTAATAATAATAATAATAACAATAATAATAATAATAATAATAATAATAATAATAATAATGGTAATAATAATAATAATAATAAATTGTTTTTGAAGAAAAACAAATCGGTTGATAATTACAATTTTTCGTAATAAATTTGCAAAAATTGTACACTTATATAAGTATTCTTACAATATTTTGATATTTAAAGACCGATATTGTTAAGAGCAGCAAAATATATTTCAAAGTTTTCTATCTTATGTATTTTTGTCCCTTGATACCGAAACAGGAAATATCAATGCGAGTAATGCGATGCAAGGAAGATTTAAAAGAAAACTATTAGTTTTACGGTCCTCTTCTTAGTAATGATAAATACTCGCAGATCCAGTTCCAGGTAGAATTACAAAAAGAACAGATAATAATACAACCAGTTTTAGTAGGCGATACCAGTTGGTTCAATAATCGATCTTTAGCTAATGAGATACATCTCGATAAGTATGATCGTGAAAAATATATTGGTAACTGTTAAATGTTGTAAATGTTAAAAATATCAAAAGTACGAAGAATAATTTATTAATTTCGTAAGACACAATTTTACAATAATCTTGATGGAATACGATTCATCGTTCAATAAGTGTAAGGATTAAAATTTTTAATTTTTAAATTTTCGTTTTTCTTTTTTTTTTTTNTTTTTTTTTTTTTTTTTTTTTACTCGAATAGAACTGAAAATATATAAAAATATATAGAATGTATTATTTATATAAATTATTGTAGAAAATTATAGAAAGTAATATGAAATATATGGAGATGTATCACTAATTTTTTTCGTAAAGTTTCTGAAAAAAAAAAGTATGTAATCGTTTAAAATTTATAGATGAAATTATTCCGTATACATATTATAAAATACGTATTTTTACGTATCCGATATAAGAAAGTTCTAGGAAGGAAACCGACGAATATAAGTACACGTATGAGAGCGAAGCCGCGATGCTCTTAGAATGGAAATCAAACCCTTCAAACGAGAGTGAACGATTTATACGGCGACAACTGCTACAGATATTTTCAATTACGAATATGATATAATCGAAAATATATTTTTTATAAAATATAAAAAATGAAATTAAAATATTTTTTGTAAATAAAATTATAATTTTGCCGATGGATGGATATATATTCATATTGTAAGCAAAAAGTTAAAATTAGCAAATTTCATACGTAAATAAATATTATGTAAAATATGGATAATATTCGAAGGAATCTACGAGATTCTATAAGATTCTTTTCAAAGGTATTTATCGTAGAAAAGTGACGGTGGATTTTCATAGTATTGGAGAATCACCAATAGCGTTTTTTAAGAAAGGAAAACGATGAAGTTAAATAGTCAAATAGTACTTTCACTACACAAACTACAAGCCTATTTAATATTTGTCTTCATACCTCGTTCATACGCGAAACATCTCGCGTATAAATCATATAAAAATAAATTTCCACAACGATGCTCAAAACTTACGGCAAATATTTTTAAAATTTGTGTTACACGAACGAATATGCACGATTATTCGTATTAATATTTTAATTCTTATTCCAATTGATTCTAAATTTATTTTCTTTTTTCTTTTATACGAAATTATTATTTAAACGTTGCGTTGTCTATTATATGGAAAAATTAATGATTCATTTATCGCATTTTTGCGATAATATTAACTTATATACACTGTACACGATAAATTTGAAACAATGAAGAAAGAATGTTATATTTTTATATGATAACATGTATCGTGTGAATAGGAATAGAAATATTTTTTTATTTTCCTTTTATTTTCATTCTTTTATTTATAATATCACATCGTTTGAATAAAAATTTTGATAAAAATCTATTTCAGAAATAAATATCATTAAAATTCGAAGGAATTCTCTTCATATATAATTGATTATATTTTTAATATCATGTCACATTAGATATTTTATACAAGATTATGTATATTCGTAAAGATAATCTGATTTTAATAAATATTTATTATATCATTTTCTCGGTAGAGAGAAAACAATTTTGCATTGGAAAACAAGGAAAATAAAATACTTAGATCAATGATCCTTGTTAACCGAATAAATATAAACGGAGTATACGTATTATTATATTTATTATATAACATTATATGTTTATTATATTTATGCGAAGAATAAATAGTTTATATTTTTAAGTTATTAATATCATAATCATTAAGATTATTCGAATAATTACTTATCTATAATAATGGAACACTTTTAGATTGACCAGAAAGTGTTTTTCGTGTTTTACAAAGAATTATTAACAGTGATTTCGAATATTAATAATTAAAATATAATTATTTTAATTATTTTAATTTTTTCGAGACACAATAAATTGTGCAAGAATTTGTCGAAACGAAATATCGAATCATTCATGCGTAAAATAACATTGACGCGTGGCTTGTCGTAATCGTCATAGAATATACATATGATCATAGAATATATAGAGAGTATGTAAACTGAGCGAAGAAACGTTCTAACGCGAACTTACCATGTTTATTATCAATTTTGTTTTCGTCTTTTCTAGAATCGATCGAACAACGTTCGTATACATCGAATTATTCGAAAATTGGGAAAAATTTCGCGTAAGAAGAACGAGAATAAGGGAGTATCGAAGAAAAAAATTAGATAAACGTAAGTAGAAGCGTAGAAACGAAGGATGATCGAAGTAAGTAGAAGGAAGGAGTAACGAACAGCTTGATATTCGTGGGACGCGGAGCCCGTCTGCGTATGGACGCGGAATAAATTATCCCCGAACGTTTGTCCTTCTCCATTTCTTATCCCGATCCTCCTCCCCCCCGATCATCTTTCTCTACGATCCTTCTCCCACTTTCCCGTCTATAATGATTTCTGATTCGTAGTGGTGGGACGATACCGGAAGTGAAGTCAGAACGGCGGAACCAGACGTTCGCTCAATGGAAAGTTTGAGTCGTTTCAGTCGGTGCGAGAAGGGGCCGAGCGGAGTTCCGCTCGCGTGGAAAATCCGTTTCTTTCCCCCGGCCACCACAGCCACCGCACATTCCCGCTCGCGACTCACGCGTGTACGGAAGAAACTCGTCCAAGAACCGGAGAAACTCGCGTATATCGCGACTTGGCTCGATCGCCAAACGTGAAAAAAAATCCCCCCTTCGGTGAAAGAGGAACGAACGATCGATCTCGTTCGAGTATATACTATTCGATCGTGCTTAGATCGGATTGATCTAACGTTTCTTTCGATCTTAAACAGGAGAGTGATGAATCGAGATTGAGATCACCAGTTGTGTTTTGTGCTTTCATCTTTGCTAATTAATAAATTTTACGAAAAAATAGTGCAGTGACACGCGTTTCTCTTTCACAAGGATCATCGCGGTTTTGCAGAGAATCCAAAGAAATGGATTTTTCTTTGTTCTATCGAGACGATTTTCTTGGAAGAATTTTACAAAAAAGGAGATGACAAAACGTGTGAATAATGTGAATATATCAATTTTTCAAGATAGGAAAAAACATCACAAAACATCTTTTAAAATGAACCTATTAGAAAAAAATCTACGATACATTGTAATTACGTTTCTAAACGTTTTTTTTTTTTTTTTTATTAGAGAAAGTGTGCTAAATTTTTAATCAAAAAATTCAATTACTCGTTGCTCGGAAGTTTTATCGAAAAGTTTTATGAAATTAAAATTACAAGTTGAACTTTGTTTATACGTAGAATTTCTTTTATAATTAAATATAAACAGGTTCGTATAACCAATTTTAGGAATGATAGAAATTTCCTCGATTCTATCGATTATGATCTATAACGAAATTAAACAAGAATTCAAATTTGCAAGAAAATTTATTACTTTTCGACGAATTACTTTTTTATTTATTTCATACATATATATATATATATATAAATACAAAATACATTTTAATTCATTGA